AAATCGTTAAAGTTGAGTTATCAACAGCAATTGCTTAAATTTGATCATCTTTGAGAGAAAATTACAAATTACAACTGAAACGGTTCACATATTCGTTTGATAATATTAGCCTTACTATGAATTTTATTCCCGGCTGCGAAGCGTGACGCCATCCTGAGAGCTGTGTGTAGTGTCTGCACTAAGTTGATCCACTCGGGTGGCAGGCAGTCTTCCAATAGTATGTATGAATATTCATATATTGCGCGGGTTGATTGAGGATACTAAACTCGGAATTGTTTTTAATATCAACTGCACTACTCGTGTTAAAAAATGAATGGCTTCCTTCTGGTGTTGTATGAACATAAATATCATATTTATATACTGTATGTACGCGATATGTAGTACATGACGGCCAGCCAACAGTCTGCTCTGTGTCTGTGACTCGGTGTCACCACACGAATAATCCATCAATCGTCGAGCCCGCGCTTTCCAACATATAAATATGTAAATATATTATTATTTTTTTGTTTTTTGTTTTAAAACAAATATCGCTTCATTTGGGACTATGTTTTAGGGTTCTGGCATAGCCTCCTTTTTTCTTGTTTTTTTAAAAACAATAACAATCTGGCCCTGGGGCCTGGGCTTTATGTTCATGTAAATTTTTTTGGAAAATATATTTTACAATAAGTGAGAGACATAGCCTCCTCCCTATTTAACTATGTACAAGTTCAGTGGGTTTATTACATATTTACATTGTAAATACATATAAATATCACAGCCTCATATACTCTGTGTATATGCTCCTACGCACATATATCTGATTAGTGATATGAAAGTCAATTCTGTTTGTGAACTACGAAGGCCCAAACAGAGAGCCTCGTAGCGATGGTGAAAGTACTAGATACCCCACCACCGCAATTGTCGTCAGACTTTTTCTCTCGGTCTTTCGACAACATAGCTACACGCTTGCTAAGCATAGAAAAGCGAGATAAACACCATGATGTTCCTGAGAATTGCAAATACATCCCTGTTGATGCAGAGAAAATTATTTTGTGTGGAAGACATCAGTTTAATGAGCGCTCAATCAAAGAGGAAAATTTCTGCCGCATAGATTGGGTGTGTGAGTGTGTGTTATTTTTCTATGAAGTCGTTTGATGCGTTCTGTGGTTGTAGATATATACAATACTATCACTTCATAGCGTGATGAAAATTGAAAGAATATGTGAGTATACATTATCTAGTGTGTTCGGAAGCAATGCAAACTTGTAACTAGTATACATCGACAGCTGTGATATCGAATAATATTGAAATACAAGTTTCCTTTCAAATCATTTTCATGAATTCGTGCTCTTTTTTCGATATAGCATCATACGCAAGCAACTTTGATTACATACGGTTCTGTATTCATTTGCACACCTGTACACTCGTAGAAACAGAGGTTTGTGTGTGTACTTACACCAAAAGAATTATATATATAAACAGCATAGTTGTAATGTAGTAATATTGGGATTGAAAATTTTGTTTGTAGGAAAGCCTATGTCGATGTAAATAAATATTGTTTTGTAAACATATATATTTTTGCATGATAGGTTTTTGTGTAATCAGATATACGGACGAGTAAATATAGGAATATTCCTAGTATGATTTTGTGTTTGTTCTTTTTGAAGTGGCGTGTTTGCATGCTGAATGCCTTTCTTTGCTGTTCTCAGAAATACAAAATTATAACTATTTTTATTAATGACTTACTAGTGATCTATATACATACAACATAAAAATACAATAAATCGAATTTTTGTTGGGTTTTCGAGCAGTAACATATTTACAGAAAAAAATGTGACAGTTCATCCAAAAAGTGCTTATATATATATATAGGTGTGTGTGTGTGTGTGTGTGTGTGTGTACGTGTGTGTGTATGTATCTATGTATCTATGTATCTATGTATGTATATATATATATATATGTATATTTATATATATATATGTATGTATGTATGTATATATGGTAGGCATATGTATGTATCTATGTATCTATGTATATATGTATTATGTATGTATCTATGTACATATGTATATATATATATATATATATATATATATAGTATGTATATATATATATATATATATATATATATATATATATAGTAATGTGTGTAGTGTAGTGTGTGTGTAGTATCACATGCATTTATAGATTATGTCAAATGATAGGTGTCTCTCTCCTTGTTACTGTTTTGCCTGTGTAAGTTATATGGTGTTCAGTATGTGCGAAGGTTGCGAAGGTAGCGAAGGTCCTCACGAGGCCATAGATATCTTTCTTCCGCATTGCTTCGCTTAACATTTGATGTTAATTACTCTATGCCAAAGACCTAGTTTTACATACATCACAAACCAATTTTAAATGGTTTGAAATGAGTTCACATGATCTTTATGTGGCGATATTCGACCATCTATCTCAGGTTTTAAAAAAGCATATATCGTCTGTTCGACATAATTGGCCTCCAATTTTTCGCGTCACATTATGAAACCATAATAATTGCTGGGCACTCGATAATATTGTATATCCTCCCACTGCAGCCCGGGGTATATTTTATGCTTTGTGTTACAGGTGCCGATGTCGTATATGTACATTTAGCGGGTGGTGCCAACTACTTTAATGTTTATGTCAACGGAATGTTCTGCCGAGCTATTGGAAGTAAATACGACGAGTCTACATATTTACGTATGTCGGATGCTGCCTGTTTGTCTACGAACCTCATGATCGTCGTATTTACTAAACGATTCTGTCTCGTGCTTCCAGCAAAGGCTAGCGTGTGCAGTGTGGCTTCCAGCGTCCTCCAAAATTGTTAGTCTAATTGAGTCACCGTCCCTTTCGTACTGCTCTTTTATTTTTGAATGATTGTAACTAACCATTTGTATAAAATCATATTCGTCCAATTGACAGTTGCGCATGATTTAAGTCCGGATCAAGTATACGTCGTAACCCTGGTGAAACGAACTGAGGCATATCTACGTACCGCACTCACATATTTCAAACCTGCACGAGTCTTTGGCTTTTCTCTCTTTCCGAATACTGCCGAAGTTCTGCCATGCCCTCTGCCTACACTCCCCAATACAGGTAAATATGCACTCGGTTTGTTTTGTATTACTCAGAGTCAATAGTTTTAGCAGTGTCTCGAGCTGCATCTGTGATAGTGGTGTTTAATAAGTATATTTTATGTCCAGTGTTTTAGACGGATTAAAATACATAATGGATTACATGTACCATATGCTGCATTGGATAATTTTCTGGTCGTATTCAACATGTCGTCCTGGTTCATATCTATACGGATACACTACCATTCTATGCCATCAGACCCGTCCAACGCAAGCCCCTGTCGATACTTCGAATTCGTGGGGGATTCCGACACATGTGCGTTTGGGGTGGAGGGTCATATGACTGGATCTAATAGCATAAGCATGGACCCATCCACATGCAACATCGACAGATCATGGGCTCGCGTATTGTCACGAAAGTTCGGCGCAATATCTCACACACTTGCGTGGTCAGGTATGAGTGCGAGAACGACGACTACCTCAAACCGTATTCATTGGGATGTGAATATTTGTCGTTAACATAATGCATCCACGCGCTTCAGATATATATGCGCTTGTTTTTTTGTGATTGGAGTTTTGAAGCAAGAATTCAAGCCCGGAATGTCAATATGTTAGTACGCGCGATATGCTTACGCTGTTTTGGAGCATGATGGTCTGTATATTTTTAGGAAACATACGTTTCACGGCTGGTTTTTGTTTTACTCAACCTTTTTGTGCGATACACTGGAAGGGTTCTCCTTGTGTACTTTCAGTACTCACACATGCATATTGAGCAGTTTTACAATACAGTAAATGCTATGAGTGTTCCTCTCGCGCTATCAAATTTAATTTGGTGGTATCATCAGTTAAACAAGAGTTTGTGCCAGAAAACTTAAATATATGTCTAGCACATCAACTGTGCTGATATGTGCCATATAATTTAAGCCCATATCCAAGTGTCAAACTCTGTAGTTGTTGTAGATCTTCAGTGATGGAATCACAGCAGCACAGTTCCTAAAGCAATATTATCGGTTTTCTCCATTCTTTTATCAGGTAAAGCCATAAGCAAAAATCCCAATTTTCTCGGTAAAGCGACAATTCTCGATATGTACGACCGTCAAATCGCGAACGAGCCGGACACCCCTTCCACTCATGCGGTATGTTTGTATTTATTCTCCAGATTTTTTGGCATTTATAACTTCGGATCTCGGCCGCTCTGGTGAATACCAGACCTCATATATTCCTAACAGATAGTATTGTTTCCATGTGAAGAGTCTGGTCTAATTCTTACCAATAACACTTACAAACATGACTTTTTTCAGTTTCCGATTGAGTTCATGTGTGGTGTTTCATACAGCCTAAGAGAGAAAAAGCTGCTTTTTTCTATACGGAATTTTTCAGCCGCAGCAGGTCTGTGCTGTAGATAGGAGATTCGATATGCAATTTTGCCTACTAATCTCGATTATTTGTGTTTTCTCTAGGAATGCCCGTACATCGCAACAAATGCCTCAGCTTCTTCGGCTGAAATAAAGGCAGGTGTAATTATGGATCTAAAGAGAAACCACAACTTCTCGCCTTGCTACGGTTTTGCATTCGTGGATTGATTCCACTTCATCAGCAAAGGTTGGGGTTTCTCCGTGTGTATCCGTTGCCCAGCCCTCTCAATCGTATCATTGCGATATTGCGTATGCAGGCGGCATCGGCGGACGCGGTCTTCATATTAGGTGGTAGCAATGATTTCCTTTTATCACCTCGGCCGACAGAAATCGAATTTACGTTCGATTATATGAAACTGATCGCCGAGGTCAGGAAAAGGTATGGCGTTCAACGTGAGAACGTGTCGCCCATTGAAACTCTTCAGCAGCCTGTGGCATTTTCTTGCCAATTCTACAGTTCGTTAGAGTTTACTGACGACAAAAATGTGCTTTTATTTTCTCGCCATAACGCATACTGTACTGCCCGTCGGACATGAAGGAATTCGACATTGATGTTTCTGTTCTATCGGTCACAGGCACAAAACAGCCTACATTTGTTGTATAGTATTGGGATCTACAGCCGTCGCCGGGGTTGACGATGGTGACGAGGAATCTAAAAAGCCGCTCATCGACACGATCAGGTAAGCAATCCACATATTATCGCTGGTTTACGCACGTGCTTGGATTTCATGCAAGTGCTGTGCTTTGATCGAAATTCCGATGGTAATCTATTACCGGTTCTAACACTACCTGGGCCTGTGGTTGATCTCGTTGATTTTCTGTATTGAAGGCGACTGACTCGAGATGCCGTAGATAAGTTTTGTGAATTAGGAGACGACAAAGTCTATTTAATCGATCTAAATGACAAAGTAGATCTCGACAAGGCACGGGATTTCGCCCTCATAATGCATTGGAACGCAATGGGTCACTGGAAGGTGTGTGTATTGTATAGTATCGAACCCAAGAGTGTATTTCGATGCTTGAGTAGTTTGGGATAAATTATGTATTGACCGCTATATATACACATGATATATATATTGTTTTATTTTATTTTATTTTAATTTATATATTTTATATTATTATATTGCTATAATATTATATATATGTATGTATGTATATATATATATA